TGATGAAACGTTTCTCCCACTGAAAACGTCCAGATGAACAGGATCAGCCTTTTGGGATTTCCTTACCCGGATGACTGAGCGCGCATCGAGACGCCTCAGTGAAGTTTCTCTGAGCCGTTTCTGAACAAGGTTCAAAATCACACAAGTACAAGTTACTCAGATCTGTCCTCACTGAGGTCTGGGAGAGACCCAGACTGTCCCCCTCAGATGACAGGAAACTGTTAGGATGTTCAGGATCAAGCCTGCTGTGGACTGGGATCTGCTGGAACACCAGTGTCACTTCCACAGTGAAGCCAGTCTCACATCTCCATGGACCAAGAAAGAAGCTCCTGCTCCAAAATCAACGAGCTCAACTGAAATCTGCAGCTGCCCATGTGGACGAGCCAAACGGCGTCTGGAGAAAAGTTTGATGGCCAGACGAGACAAAGATGGAGCTGATTGGAGGAGCAGAGGTGAGGCTTTCAACCCTGAGGACACTGCAGCTGTGACGCATGGCGGTGGTAGCATCACGCTCTGGGCTGTTTTATCCAGACAGGATTAAGTCAGAAGACTGCTGATGCTGTCTGATCGCAACTTGCTAAATGACCAAATATTACACAGGGTCTGTATATATTTGAGCCTATACGTGTACAGGTGTATACGTGTTTAAAGTCTTTAAAGCTGTACAATCCAAAATAACTGTTCAAAGAAATGATTGAAAGCCCAAAACGATGCTGACACTCACGTCCGTCATGAGAGGACAGAAAGTTTTTACCAAATCTTTGAGTGTTTGAGGTAAAACGTTTGTGGCTGCAGCACAATCAGAGGCTTTTCTAACAGGTTATGATAGAATCAGACCACTGAACAAATACACGTGAGCAGGAAACGCATGAGCAGCTCCGCGTTTCAGCGTGATAATGACGACACCGCGAGCACGTGCCTGGAAACATTAAAATATTCATTTTTCAATCAGCCACATCAAGCTCTAGGGACAAATCAGGGAGCAGACGTGAAGCTTACACCAGAGGTCCAGCGAGTTCTCGCTCATGGTGGAACCATGATGGTGGAATCCGGTCCGTCGTCCACTTCACACCCGTCTGTGGAAAATAAACACAGTCGTTAGAGCATCGCAGCACGTTCAGTTTATTAGATATTCGTACTCGTATTTCTCTTCAGAAACTGAAGGTATGAGCTCTCAGACTGAAACATGGTTTAAGCGTTTCTTTGTATCTGTCACATTTCTCCACACCATCTACGGGAGTCCCACGCGCCGTTGCTCCATCATCGAGCACGGGAATCATTCTGGATCCAAATGTTCATTTCATACCAAAACAAAAGCTCATTTCTTGGAATCGTTTTCTAATAATAAGAGAAAAAAGCAGAAACTTCAGCTGGACGAACAGCGTGTGCCTCAGACTCGACCTCTGAGGCATTGTCCCGGTGACCGGGGTACAGCTCAGGGAAAAATGTGCATTTTTGAGAATAAAGTTAAGAAAAGAAAAACACTATGCTTGACTTCTCAAGACTAACCTGGAAAGACGTTTGCATATTTGGACTGCTGGGAATATTATCTATGTGACGGTATCGTTCCAAACATTTTTCATAATGATTTTCAGCGAATTTTCCCAACATCTCCGACCCAGCTGCTGATTTATTTTTTGCTGCTGATGCAGCTAAACGTCCCGGTTATACTGTCACAAAACAAACACAGAAGCTCGGCTTACAGAAGCTGGCCAATCAGACGAAAGCGGTCTGTTAGAGAATACAGGAGCAGGGCCAGTGTAGCACAAAGAAGGATTATTCTGAACAGTGAATCATGCAAAGCTGCAGAGCCTGCAGTAAACACTCTGAAGGGTCCTGCTGCTGCTCCATGCATCCCATAATAACCCTGCTACAGCCACACTCTACCTGGAGAGATAACAGTCAATCACCTGCGTGATAAGAACACGGGATTATCTGATTGAAATACAAAGCAGCTGTGGGTGTGATCAAGTATTGATCTACGGCATTGATCAGGTACAGATGCCCGGGATCAGTGTGTGGGTTTCGGACGGATCTGCCCCTCCGTGGCTACACGAAGCTCCGACAAAGAAACTCTGAACGCGCGCTGCGAGGTCCACGGACACGTGAACGCCGCAGACTAAAGTTGCCTTTAACTTTGCGCAGGTTAGCGGCGACAGGAGTGGATTACCGCAGAGAGCGCGTTCGGATCTGCGCCACGCTTTCTCTGCTTCAATCTGCAGGCAGCTGGCAATCTGCCTGCAGTTTTCGGAAGCCATTTTCACTGGCCACAGTGGCCACCGACACGGACCCACCTTCGTGCAGACACGCAGCGGGGACTGGGAGCCTCTCCCCGGGATGAACCGCGCTCTCTGCCCCCTCCCCCGTCCGCTGGCTCCGCCGCTGCCCGCAGATCACAAGTTTGGCGTTAAATTTTGCACCGACTCAGTCGCCTCCCCCGAGCTGTGACCACCATTTTTTATCACAGGAAATGACATGGAAAAACGGAAGAAAGCAAGTGCGCAAAAATTAAAGTTCACCGAATGCCTGCGGAGGCTGGAGGCCGGGAGAGGAGGCGGGCAGGCGGCTTTGGGTGCAGCTCAGTCCGCCTGTCAGCGCTCATCCCCGGCCAGCTGCAGGCTGCTGACCCGCCGAGGATCCCGGGCTCACCGGGTCACCCCCCCACCACCACACACACACACACACACACACACACACACACACAAACAGAAGCAGCTGTTCATAGTCATTTATCTTATATGCAGCCCAGGTGCCTAGCCACACTGTCTCTTTATCATCAGTGTCATCACTTACTCTCAAGGACATCCCGACAAATGAACACAAACATTCGGTATCATCTCAGTGCAGATGGACTAATAAGAGATAGTCAGGGCTTTGAGGGCGGAAAA